AAATTCTGTTTTAAAGCAGTCAGTACCATCTCATTATGAGCACTGTGTTTTTATGATGGAGGGAAATGAGAAAGACAAATGTTACTCCTGTTGATGAATTTGCCTCTTATCATTTCCCCTCTCTGCTCTATGGAGAGATATTTGATTCATATTAGGGGTTATTTGGGTCACTTTTATCTTGAGAGAGAAAATAATGGTAACCTCGTTTGAGATTTCTACCAATTTAAGTAAGAAAATGGACTTTGAGTATTTTGCCTAGCTGCTCCATTGAGCTGAGAGTTCAGTGAAGCATGAGCTTCCAAATGTGAGTAAGGCTTTAACCATTTCCTTTATTTGTTTTTAAACTACATTTGTTACTTATGATTAGCAATTTTGTGTCATTCATATGCAGTGTACTGAAACTGCATCCAATAAACTGACCTTCTTCCACCTATTAAGCTAAACTTGGTATGTAACTATTATGCATGCAAAGCCAAGCAGAAAGGCTAAGGGAGCACGAATAAATAAAATCATTGTGTTTTACTTGCAATGAATAGGAATATTTGTCTTTATTACTTTTCATATGAAATTTATTACTGCTTATTTTGAATTGGAGTAAGCACCAAAAGAAAATAAAATCAAACATCTGTAAAGAACCACAACAATCAAAAGCTGTTTAATCTCATCCATTTGGTTCTAGTGCACAGTCTGTTCAGAGGAACTTTTTCCAAGGCACTGTGCAAGAAAACAGGTCATTTAAACTCTGTAATTAGTATTACAGATCAAATGACACTGCAGCAATGTTAATTACTATAGTACTGATGTAGTCTAGGATATAATACATAATAGTCATGTCTTTAATTTTAAATTGAAGTGCAACAAAGCATATTATTGCCACAGCTTCTCTGCTTGAATTAAATGAGTCTTATTCAAGTGTACTTTTGTATCCATGAAGAATCTTTTAAAATCATAATTCTACTCAAACTCAAACTGGCATCTTTTACTTTCTAATGGCATAAGCTAAGGAACTTCTCGATACAGAAACTTTTCCTACGACAGATGAAATCACGACAGAATTAGATTCCATATGAAGAATTTCCAGAGTCATTTTTTCCCCCATACAACAGCTGTAAATCAGTTTGCAAATGAAGCACAGCATTCAGTATTTTTAAAAATACAGATGAATCTCAAAGAGCATTAGAGTGGTTTGAGGTGTAGTAGGACCTACACATATATGATCAAATTGGAATTAATTCTGGACTGCTACGGCAAAAAGATCTGGCAATTGTACACATAAAATATTCATAACCAAACAAAGAGACTTGCAGAGAAAGACAGTGAAAGCTTTTACCTGCAGCTCCAGGAGGAGCAGAGTTCCCTACTAATGAATAATGATGTCTCTGCTTTTTGCAGCACCTTTACTTTTGGGCCACTTTGGTATAAATATTAAAAGAAGGAAAAAAAAGTTAAATTTCAGATTTGTTCAAGTGTACTTAAATAATTTATGTCAGCTGAAATGTTCCCATTTTCAGGGCAGAAGTTCTCTAATGAAGCCATTATTCAGGCCTTGCATGAGAAGTACCCTAAAAGCCTCCTTATTTCAAGTGTAACAATCCTGTTCACCGCGTTAACCGTGTGCCCCTGGCTAAAATGTGTACGTATGGATTTAGAAAAATATTTGAATATACAGCATAAGATTCAAAGCAGAAGTTGAAGTGTTACCTCAGGTTGGTTATTTCATCTCGCACGATGCGTTGCTACGTTTAAACGAAGGTGTGTAAAGAGCAAAACCTTCAAGTACTTACAACTAGTTTCTAAGATTTGGGGTTGGAGTCAGGTGGGGGTTGGTCTCTTCTCCCAGGCAACCAGCAGCAGGACAAGAGGGCACAGACTCAAGCTCTGCCAGGGGAGGGTTAGGTTGGATATTAGGAAGAGATTTTTTACAGCGAGAGTGATCAGGCATTGGAATATGCTGCCCAGGGAGGTGGTGGATTCACCATCTCTGGAGGTTTTCAAGCTGAGACTGGAGGTGGCACTTAGTGCCATGGTCTAGTGACCACGGTAGGGTTGGACTCGATGATCTTGGAGGTCTCTTCCAACCAGTTTGATTCTATGATTCTATGAAGTGATTTTGACAAAATGCTTTTTTATCCCCGTGTTTAGGTCAGTGGGACGATGTACAACACAGGGAGACATGTATCGCTACGGTTAGACAAAGAGCACTTGGTCAACATCTCTGGAGGACCCATGACATACAGTCACCGCCTGGAGGAAATCCGGTTACACTTTGGAAGTGAGGACAGCCAGGGATCAGAGCACCTACTCAATGGACAGGCGTTCTCTGGGGAGGTATGTCACCCTGGTGGGAGGTACCAGGATCAATTACTCATCTTCTCTATCTACCCGAAGGTATTTGCAGATGAATTTGTTCCCATAAAAATTGTTTCCCTATATCCATTCCGAAAATCAGGGAATGACTTGTTTTCTTGCCCATGCACTGTAAATCGTGTGGCTCATATTGAAAATGGAAACTGCTGTATTTATTGTATGCAGAGACTCCCTCTATTCTATCTGTGCTACTTACAAAGTAATCAAGTCTCTTTTGATGGGTCCTTTATGTCTCTGGTAAACGCAAACAGAAGATTAACCACAAGGCAATATTGAAAGTGCTTCAGAGTCTATAGAAGTGCTACTTTTGCTACTCACTGGTGTGTAACACTTTACATTGAGTACCATTCTGCCTTTGAGTCATGTGAAAATAAGGTGATACTTAATTTTAGAGATAGTTCCACAGAACTCTGCTCAAGAAATAAAGATAACTGCAGAAGTAATCCCTGGCAGAATCAGTACTCATGTTTATAGACATTCATGTCTATAATTCTCCCAGGAAAGACCATAATTTCATGATCCTGATACCTATTACAGAATGGCCCATTACTCTCACAGGTTAATTATTTTAGTGTGGAGTTCTTTTTCAAGATGTATAGTGAAGTTTTCAGACTTTCGGGAGCAAACAAAGCAGAATCTTTACATTTTCCTCATCTAGGAACATTTTCACATGGAAGAGATGCAGGGGGTTTGCAGTAGCCCATCCTTGTTCAGCCTGGGCCGTGGCTGAGAACAACCTAGCATGAAACTCTACTCCACAACTCAAAATAATGCTTCAGAATAACTACATGTTCCTGTAGGGATGCTTTTTAAACACTCTGGGTATCCCTATTACCATGCTTCCAGAATGCCATAAAGAATCGTTTTTTGCATCATAAAGCACTTGTTTTCTTGGAGATGAGTAATCAAATTAACACCTGTAGTAGCCATCACAGTCTCTGGTGATGAGTCAGTTAATGTGTGACATTTTCACTGGCACTGAGCAACAGCAGTTGCTTAAGAGCAAGAAATTAATTGCAGAGCTGTCAAATGATGGTGTTATAATTGATGGTAATCATTGGCTTTGTTTTATAGGCTACATAGATTTATAATATAGCCAGTGGCAGCTTTTTCCTGACATTACTCATGTCTCACACAACTGAATTCTGGTTGCCTTCGTTAAATTCTATGATAAGTGAACAGATAATGTATTGCTCCTTTAAGAACTGAAAGTTAAGAGCACTGAAGTGAATCAGGTCTTTGCCTTGGTGTTCAGACTTACACAAGAGCAACATTCAAACAAAAGAAAGTTGACTGAACAAGAAAGCAAAAATCTGGTTCAAACATACCATTGCACTTGATAGGATCTATCAGCAGCATTTCAGATGTTTCTTGAAGAGTTTTCAACTTATAAATTCATCGGTCCTAGACTAAAACAAAGTAAACATGTAGAGAATTGTTTTGCAATGCTTGTTGTTAATAGTTAACTAGGCTCTTCTGGTTTGGCAAGTAGGAGTTCTAAGTACTATTAATATTTGGTATTTGCTAACAGAGACCTCAAGTTTTTCTTAATAACAGCAGAAAACCTAGCTAAGTGGAAAGTGCTGTCAGGCAGGCAGGCACAGCTGGATCTACAGTATGTGCAGCATTCATATAGTTATCTGAATTCCTCCTGCAGTGAAAAGAAAGATTAGCATCTTGAGAGGATGATCAGTCCTGATAGCCAGAGACACTTCTCTTAGGACAGGACAAATCACTCTGTGGAGATGCATCTCCCTTGACAGCAGGGCAGAGACAAACAACAGGCTGAGTAGTTTAGACTCAACACCTCCTTTTCAGATACTCAGATGAATTCTGGGCTTTGAGGATGTGTTTTTCAAAGTTTCAAATAGCTGTTTTGGGCAGCTGGACAGGTAAGTTCCAATAAGGTCAAGTATTAATTACTAATTTGAACTTACATTTGCACGGTTAAGTCTTATTTATGGAACACACACTGTTTCCAAAGTGGCAGCACAGATGCCAATCAATCATGCTGAATAGCATGGCTGCAAATTTTCAGGGAAGGACAGCAGCTGATGGTGTTCCTTGACTGTACATCCACCCATACAAGTGGTGTCTGTACAAATGAGTGATCTTCGATAAGCTCTCAGCACTGCAAGATGTAATGTCTACAGCTCCCAACAACCAGAGGAAGAAAGCTGTAAACAAGCCAAGTGACTTCCTGATAGAGTAGGTATCTTTGCCATGTAAGGTGTGCTTCCAGGGCTGGTGCTGCTAATTGCTATTCACTGCTGCATTGGATAGTGCTGTCAGAGGAGATGGGATAAAGAAAAATAACTGCATAGGTTCATTAGTTTCATTTAGCTAATGCAGGTAAGAATAGCAATGAATATTTGCTGGCTTAGGCTTTAGCAACTGGAGAAAAATCATTGCAGAATTGCACTGCATGACTGCTAATTGTACACTAACTCCCACAACTGCTGCTCTCAGCCGTGTTGGACAAACCCTCTATGGGTTTTACCAAAACCTCTGTTTTGCTTTGGAAACAATTCTCAAGGATGAAGTTACCCTAGCGTGTTCCATTCCAGTAGATCACAATCAGATTATTCCTACTACTCCTTCCTCAACTCCCATTCACATCTCTCCTTTCATTTTCACTGAGGTCTCCAAGACATATTAAAGTCAGCACATTGCAGAGAGAGAAGGAGAGCCTGGGGAGAGGGCAGGGGAGAGGGCAGCACCTCTCCCTCACAGCACTGGCAAACTGTTAGATTAGCTCACACAGACCTAAATTAAATTCAAGTGCAGACAAAGCAGAAGCTTTTAACCAGCCCCAGTATATCTTGAATCGGCTGCAATGTTCTTACACACCTGGAAATCACACCTAACATCCATACTAGTGAAGGAGTTTGGTTTAGGGGCTTTTTTTTGCCTAATGAAGATGTGCTGCAAGTGGGCAGGCAGTCAGAGCAAGCTGGAGAGCACTGGAGTGGTACCATGGCATGAAAAACAGTCTAGAAATAGCAAATTGCTTCAAAATATACTGTGGTTTGAATGACACTGAGAAGCTTGCAATTTCCAGGCTTTACCGTTTAACTAGGTGTTAAAGGCTGTCAAGAGAGATCTCTGCAATAATCTGGTTGCCTTTAAGCCCCAATTATCACTTTAGTAGACAGAATGACTGAACTAATGCTTGAATAGTTTGAGTGCAAAGGCTTCAGAACTGTGTATCAGATTATCACCAATACATTCGGCAGTGGTAAGGTGGGAAGGCAGGCAGGCTTTGGAATGCTTAAATAAATAAATCCAGCATTTCCTTGTCCCTCTGATACATACTCGAGTGTGCTTAATTCCCTATCCCTTGCACAAGCCTAGTGTATTATAGTGATTAAAGGAAAATCTTGTCTTAAGCAAAGTCTCCAGCTAAGACACCAATCATTTGTGTCCTAATGCCTCTATGCAAAACAGGTTTTAATGCTTCAGGGTGTATCATCTCATGAGAAAGACCATTTTCCCTTCAGATAGCAGCAGTACAAACCAGCAGAACTGACCAGGGTGCTGCTGTCCAGGCAGTCTGCCTTGTTAAAACCAAAGGGTAACCTCCAAAAGGTTCATGGTGAAAATGGGATCCTTTAACTTTACCGCGTCTCAAAGTCATAAAAATCCAAACCATTTTCTCTTTGCCTAGCATAAAGATGAAAAATGTGCTGCAGGAGACCTCCAATCACTTTATGGCTGTGCATTGTAGCAGCCTTATCAGTGTAAAGGCAGAAAGTCAAGCAGCTTAATTATTTGGGGTTATGAACTTCTCACAAACTCAGTGGCTGGAGACTTTCAAATAAGAGACTGTAGTCCACAACACATGGAAAAAAAGATTTCTTCTTCTCTGCCTGCCCTTCCAAAATCCCATGGACAGAGATTGTAAACACACAAGGATTTAATCTGCTACAGAAGAAATAAAATGAAAGCCAGAACAGGATCTAAATAAATGAATACATGCTGCAAGCTGTACACACAGTTTGGAACTGAGATTTACTTTTGCTGCTGCTAAAAGCCACTCAGGAAACCAAAAAAAAAAAAAAAAAAGCAGGAAAACAGGAATCAGAGGGAGAAGCTGGAAATTCTGAAAGCCCAGTCTCTTCTTGCTGCTGCAATTTCTTTAACTGCAGGTGTGTTCTATGTGAGTGGGAAACTTGTAGTGATAGTAAAGGATTACTGATCAGAGAGATCAGTGTCGCAAATCCAACCTCAGATATTTTTAGGAGCAGGACTGTCAGACAGACAGCCTATGAGAACAGCTGGCCAGCTGGAATGATTTCATCCAGCCTGCTGCAGAATTAGAGTGCTCTGAATTGCTAAATCAGAAACAGTGGCTCTGTCACTGAGACCTCCTGTACACCTCTGACTTACCTGTGTGGCTCCAAACAGCCTCCCCAGACAGTGGGATCATATGTAGAAGAATCCATGACTTGTCATCAGCCTGAGCTAGCACATCATCCTTCCTCTTTCTCAGGAAGGGAGTATTAAGTGAGAAAGTGATGCCACCAAGCAAGACCAGGAATCTCCTGATTCTGCATAACCCCATTCATAGAATCATAGACTCATAGAATCAACCGGGTTGGAAAAGACCTCCAAGATCATCCAGTCCAACCCTACTGTGGTTACTAGACCATGGCACTAAGTGCCACATCTAGTCTCAGCTTGAAAACCTCCAGGGATGGTGAATCCACCACCTCCCTGGGCAGCACATCCCAATGCCTAATCACATAAAAAATCCACATTCCTGCAGGTGCTGACAGTGCCATAGCAGAGACAGCTGTAAGCAGCCCCTACTGCACCACATAAAATTGGTACTGCTGCCAACAGCTCCCTGAAGGAAGTTTGTCATTCAGATTTGCCAGTTGCCACAGGCCATTGGTATTACATTTTGGAGCCTTTATTGGGAATGGTGCAGGTCATTTTTAAGCATTTCAGCCTGAAGA